CGCCAAACATTCGGTAGAATTTATAGAATATTTTTGTTATAAATAAACTTATAAGGCACCAGGAAAAATTCTATCTACCAAATAACCATAAACTATATAATGGATGGATTGAATGATTGATTGACTGATTGATTGACGGATTGATTGATTGGTTGATTGATTGATTGATTGATCGACTGATTGATTAATTGATTGAGAGATAGATTAAAAAACGTTCATTCATTCAGTAATAATTACATTTTATGTCAAATCTTGACTTCCCCTGAATTTGGAATATGTAGGCTCGTATGTTGGCTGCACATGTCACAAAATCCATTGCTGACTCACTATCCTTTAAAGTAGAATCACACAATTAATTAATTGACCATTTAATTAGGTAACTAGTTAATTAATTAATGCAATTGATCATTTGGTTGATTTAATACATTTAAATTAATGATCTAGAAATCCGTGCTTTCCAGTGGATCAGACCAATCCGGTCTTATCTTTACAAGATGTTGCGGTGACAAGACTTGATTTTGAAGACACCCTTACCCAACTAACACACACGCATCAATCTTTGCTAAAACGAGTTAACAGCCTCTGACCTTTAACCTTCTAACTTTTTAACCTTCAACTGACCTTATCCCAAACTAGACAGCTACCAGGACCACCGGCTTTCAGTTCATTCTTCAGTGAATGGACAGATTCGTGAAACTTCGCGATGCACTCTGATAGAGACCAAAGTTTTTGATCATTCAAAACATTTTCATCTGACTGTTGCTGCTGTTGTTGATCTGTTAGGCAAATAAATAACTTTTATATTTTAATCAAACTATTTGTTATAAATATATTCCTAAATTTAAAAAAGAAAGAAATATATATATATAGGATCAAATATAGCTCATCTAATGAGAGAGGTTTAAGAAGAATATGAAAAGTGAAATAACAAAGATGCAATGAGGAGAAAAAAATTGAAAATCACCAAATGGAAGATTGCTAGGGTCGATGAATCTCGGTGGTGTTCTCTTCTTCCATAGGTTGGACATTGACAGGAGGTACTTGATGTCATCATTGAAGAACTTTTTTTAAAAAAATTTGGAAAAATATTTTATCATTATTTCAATATCACTATTGCAGTTTTATCATAATAAAAATGAATAAATATAGTTAAAGAATATGTAAAAAAAATAAAACACTACCTTATAAAATAATTTATTTGAATCGTATTGAGTGTCTTCTGCCCAAACTCTTGTCGACTTCCTCTCCAGACCACCAATGGCCCCGACTTTTGAGCTGCTCTCGACGGCTTGCTTACCTGCGTCACCTGTGTTTTGTATTTTTGTATTGTATTGAATGGTATTACACTGTAATAACATGGTATTGTATGCCCGTTGTATCATATAATACTTGTATTGTATTGTACTATACAACTACTATTGCACTACTAAAACAACCACACAATCACAACATCAGCACAGTAGCCATACCAGCAGCTTCAGGGTCTTCTGTATCCGGGGACACATCCTGATCTGGATCTGATTCCCCAAATAACTGGCTATAAAATAGTAGTAGTAGTAGTAGTAGTAATAATAATAATAATAACTAAAACCATAAACAAAATTGAATCTTAAACAAACACTAAACCAAGCAAAATATTCAACTAAACAAAATTTCAGAAAAAAAAAACAGTCGCAAACTTAAATAGATGTTTAGCCCACACGACGCAGTGTATAATTTCAGACGGTGTATTCCTAATGGTGCAGCCAGGGAATGTTTTCTGTGCAGGTTTAGGCTGGCAATCGTAACATCCGGTTAATTTCTGCGAGAGAGAGAGAGAGAGAGAGAGAGAGAGAGAGGGTGGAGAGAAAATGTTATTTTAAAACTTTTTGTCAACATAATAAATAATAATAAAATAAATAAACATCATTTATCATATTTTGAAAAAATTCCCAAATGGTCTGCCTACCTTCTTGATGACAGAGACTTGACCCAGGTAACCTGCTGTTCCACTTTCGACGAGGGGTACGTCAGACGCCAGACACATTCGATTTACATGACTTCTCGCAGCTTTGTGTGTTTGCCATGTGTGTGTGTGTGTGTGTGTGAGTGTGTGTGTGTGTGTGTGTGGTGTGTGTGTGTGTGTTTTGTGATTTTCAAGGAAATAGAAAAATGTCAAACAAAAAAAATAAATTGTTCTACTTTAAATTTAATTATTAATATCATTTTAGTATTATAATAATTAATAGTTGTAGTAATATAGGCAGTGGTAGTGGCAATAGTACTAGTGGTGGCAACAGCAGCTGCAGCAGTAGTAGCAGTAACAAAAGTAGCAGTAGCAGTATCAATGTTAGCAGCACAACAGAGTTGTAGTAGTAGAGTATTATCTTACCTCCATTGTCCAAAGCATTGAGTACAATGTCAAATGATTTGAAGAATGGAACACCATAGTTAGAGCTAGAAAATATTAATAATTTTATAATTAATAACTTAATAAATTAATTGACTGACATTAACGATAAAATATTACTGAATTATCTTTTTTATTACCTTAAACTAGAAAAAGTATATTATCAAATTTTTGATTTTTTAGATAAAAAAATAAAAAAAATAAAAAAAAACAGAACAACTGACTTCATGACACTATCATGAAATGCCTCAACTTGTATATCAGGATTCAACTGTAGCGCACTTTCTTTAGCCACCTAGTGTCAGTTAAGTGATTTTAATATTTTTATAATTAATTAATTAATTTATTAATTCATTCATTCTCATTTTTAATTTGCTGAAGTTTTTCAAAAAGAAAAAAGGTATAGTGCTGTCGTTGTGGTAGTTATAATAATAAATAATTAAAATAGCAATGATTAATTTTTTAAAATAATTAGAAAATTTAATTTAGTAAAAAAAATTGTTGAAATAATTAAAAATAAACTAAAAAATTGGTTAGTTAGTATTATTTCTAATGTTATTTATACTATAAATTTTATAGTGTCACCATCCAACCTGAGCCTTGGACTTGCCAACATGCTGCTTTCTGAACAGAAATTGCCTATTTAAGTTGCTGATATCAATAGTATCTAGATCAATCTGTTTTTATACATATACATATATATATATAAACTAAAGATCGCAAAATTTTAATCTAAATCTTCAACTTTTAATAAAAATAACAAGAGAATTCCATTAAATTCGGGAATTGATTTTAAAAATTTCTTGGAAAGACTACTAAAACTAAAAAAAAGCCGGTAATGAATAGAAATAAGAACGAAATTAAAAGTTACCAACTATTTTAATCTTTCTAAATCCACTTAAAACTAAGTTTTTCAGTAATTCGCATCCAATCCCGCCAGCTCCAACAAGCAAAATTTGAGAATTTTTAATTTTTTCTTCATCGATGATAGCCATTTTGTAAATTTTTGTTATTGCTCCAAAATATAAGGATGGATGAGTGTAAAACATAAATAAGCAATTAAACCCTAGATAAATAAGTTGAACGTACGTAGAAAACGTATCAAACAGACGTACCATAAACAGTGATCTGCAAACTCGTGAATTCGATTGATGGAATGTAAAAAAAATCATCAAACTAACGTAACTAACATTTTTCAGAGAATATCAATTTTGATTGATCGTCTACATTAATCAAACTCATGCAGCACACTACATTTTTCTTGGAATGGATGCAATTACTGCCGATATTATACCACGTTTCACCAGCAGAATCAATGAATAGCTAAACACAACTTGTTTGTTTTTCCATACACTGCGTCAAAATAAAAAAAAATTCAAACACAAAAACAAAGCCTCAAATCATTTTGATACAATGCGGTTTTGGTCTTTTTGTCCGAAAAAAAATTATATAAAATTATGCGATGATTTGTTAAAAATTTTGCTGGACGATAACGTTCGTAACAATCCTAAGGCTTTCACCAGCGCCGTGACGCAAAGAAAAATTCTGGCTCTCTGTGCAGTAAGTAGAGAAACATTCATGAGCCAGAGTATGCTTGTTGAAATGGACGCCCCAGTCAATATATGCGGTGACATACACGGGCAGTACGTCGATCTATTAGAATTGTTCAGGGTCGTCGGTAATCCTTCCGAAAAACCATTTCTTTTTTTAGGTAGAGTGATTGAAGTTGTCTTTTGAGCGTGAAACTTTAAAAACAAAAATTTGTTATAAAAAGTTAATACATCGTTTTGATAATTTTGAAACTGAAAGGTGATTACGTGGACAGAGGGAAGCAGTCTTTGGAATGCATATGCCTGCTCTTCATTTATAAAGTTAAATACCCCAAAACATTTTTTTTGTTGCGTGGCAACCACGAAGAAAAGCAAATGAACGAAGTCTACGGCTTCTCTGAAGAATGTGAGAATAGGTGCGTGTGTTCAAGATAATGTCTCAAACAAAATTAAATTAATTATTTATTTTTACATTTTTGTTTACTACATTTGTTTGAATTTAAAATGCAGGTACAGCAGCAAACTATGGCAAAGTTTCATTGACGTTTTTAACTGCATGCCCGTAGCTGCGGTTGTCAGCAAGAAAATATTTTGCTGTCACGGAGGATTGAGTCCAAGTTTGACCAGCCTCAAACAAATTAAAAGGATAAGAAGACCCAAAAGTGTGCCAAGGAAGGGCATCATGTGCGATTTATTGTGGGCAGATCCGAAAACCGACTGTAAAGTAATGACGGGATGGAGTGAAAATGTTGATCGCGGAATATCATGCACCTTTGGCAGGGATGTCGTTCAAAATTTCTTAAAAGTTTGTATTTTGTTAAATTTTATTTTAGAATCACTAGCATGGACATGTAACATATTACAATGTCATCAAAGTGAAAATGCCTAGTAATTTATATGCAATATTTACGTGTTTATCTGCTAGTGAGTTACATTTGTATAAATTGTTTATGCAAAACTACGAGCCCGCAAAAAAAGTATTAAGAAATATTTGAACTAATTTAGCAAATTACCGTAAACCGACGTACAAATCTCTCAAACGAATGAATATAGCAGAGCCGGCTTCAAAAATGTTTACAAATGTGAAAATTTTTTCAGAACTGTTAAAAAATAAATCTTATCTAAAAAGTCATCCAAAAATTAAAAAAAAATCTTTAAAATTAAAAAATATACTAAGAAAGTAAAAAAAATTGGAGTCAATTTTTTAATATTCCGAATGTTTCAAAGTGTCCAAAGCCGGATTTTATTGTGATAACAGTTTCATTCATTTTGGTCCAACGGTAAATTCATTTTAAATATGCAAAATTATTTCAAATACTTTAAATTATTTCCAGAGATTTGATTTTGACCTTGTCTGCCGAGCACATGAAGTGGTTGATGATGGTTACGAATTCTATTCCAACCGGGGACTGGTCACCATCTTCTCAGCCCCACTCTACACCAGCAAGTTTGATAATGACGGGGCCGTGCTGAGCGTTGATGAAAATTTGCGTTGCAGTTTTCATATTTTGAGGCCGTCAGTTATAAAATCCCACGCTGACCAAAATGAACAATCTAATCCATATAAATGAGTTCTTATCTGCTATTTTAACACTGTATTTTATTTCGTGTTTTTATTTTCAGGCTGAATAAAACGATAGCCAATGCAATGTGTCCTACATTATAATATTGTTATAGGACTATCCTTAACAAACGTTTGCGCATATTTAAATTTCGTGTTTGACATAAAAAAAAATGTTTGGTTCTTTTCGCGTAACAGCAACATTTATTCATAGAGAGGGAGAGCTGTTTAAACTGTCAATGAACGTTTAAAATTGCAAAGCGCCGGTCGGTTCTGTCTCTTCATTATTATGGAACGGAGTATACTAATCTGTGAGGTATGCGGTCGCATAATGAAGCCGCCGACTGCCATGCTACCTTGCAAGCATACGTACTGCAAGACTTGCATCGATGAAGTTACTAATAAACGTAGTTTCGTTTATGATATTTAATTTGTTTTTCTACACAGGCTGTAGTTCTAAATTTTATTCATTAATGAAATGCTTAAAAGGTGGTGGCGTGAAGTGTTGGGACTGCGGTGAGCAATATCGGAGCAAGAGGCACTTTCGAAGAAACTTATTTCTCGAACAACTTCTCACTTTGAAAGCAATTGAAGAGGAAATTATACTTATGCAAGGTTAACATTTGTACTATAGTTCAGTAATTTTTCATTAAACGTTCAGTTACAAATGAAACTAGATAAAAAAATAAAATAATTCGCTAAAAGACCACGAATTAAATTTTTTCATCATAAACATAAGCTGATGTGGAACGATTCCCCAAGTTTTTAGAAAATGCCAAGATGCCTAGGATGGTAACGGCTATACATTACTCATCTTCCAGCGGTTTATTATACATTGCTTTCCATGATAACGTGTTCTTCATTAGCGTTGTCCGCTGCCACTTTGTTGATGAAAATGTTCTCAGGCTCAATAACCAGGAATTGCTCCCAGCGGCAGCAATACGAACGCATGTGTCCCAAAATATTTGTGATATGACCGGCTATGAAAATAGGATTTTTTTCTCCGATGACAACCGACCTAAGATAACCCAATACAAATTCAAAGAATCCTTTGCGACGGCTACCAAAGTGAGCAAGTTCAACCTCATCTTGGGTCCTGGTTCTAAACATGGTGATTATTTCGTTAGTTCAGTCTTCATCGGCTTCTCTGGTACAAGACTGTCATTAACTAATGACTTCCTTAACGAAACGTACGTTTTTTTTTCAACGATTAAAGAATAATTCTTCAAATGAAATTTAATTTTACAGTAGGCCTAATTATAATAAGTGTTGATTTTACTTCATTTGCTTAAATGGTTTGTTTAAAATAACGAATTATTATATTTCAGATGTTTGTTAGTAACTACAAATACACCAACACTGTTGATTGTTGGTACTAAAAATAGGTTGGTCTTATTGAAAAAAATATTGTTACCTGATGGATCTCCCAAGCACGCTCTATTCCTAAATTCAAAAACGTTAGCAGTCGCCGGGCGAACACAAAACTCTTATTTGACTTTCTTTAACTTTAATTTTGATTCTGCCCGTCGAAACATTACCCTTCAGAAAAAGCAATTTGTTTTCAGAAAGGAACTCTATCGATTTTATTCTTGTTTGTGGGAACCTTGTTATTTGGCGCACAATAGATTGAATAAAACTTTGTTCATCACAAACAAAGGTTCTGAGACAGTTAAATTATTCGGCGTGAATTTGGACTCCGATGATGTGGTCGTCATTGAGGACTGTCAAAAACTCTCCAACTTAGTGAAGAGATATGATGCAGTGGAATACCGGAGCCCACTGCTCGATCAATATATGCCATTTGAACCTACAAAGATTACATACGCAGAAAACGTCAAATACTTATTTGAAATTAATAAAGTCCAGAGCAGAATATTTTGGTACAATATTTAACGGGAATATTTATTTATTCAAAAGGTTTTCGAAATTTTTTTACACATACAAATATGCACACATGACAATTGTTTCACAGTTTTATATTATGTTATATTATATTATGTTATATTATATTATTTGTTTAGTCACTGGAAAAATATTTTAAATCATAAACGGCAGATCCATGTTTTTCATTCCATTTCCGTAATAAACTGATCCAAAAAATCTCGTATTTGGAATGTGGTAGAAGATGTAGCCAGGCCAGAGCAAACTTTTGACAGAAACTAAACCCCCACCTCTTTCGTACTGTAGGCACCAACTAATGTTGCTCGGTGGATCCTCCGATATTGGGTCTAAAAAATCTATTGACCTGTCTAAATCCGCCCTATACAGAATAGTTTTTTCTAACAGTCTTATCGCTGGTCGAAAATGTCTGTAATTGTAAAGTTTGCTTGCCTCCGCTGATGTCAACCCTATAAAAAGCGGATTTTCTGTAACAAAACCGTTAACTGTATTTGTGTAGGCCCCTCTTGGCACGACTTTGGTGTCTGTATCTATCCAATCTATCAAACCCGTCAATCGATCAATTTCTTTCAGTTTAACTGGCAGTTCAGCTTGTCCGCTATCGTATTCGTACTCCTCTTCTTCGTCTTCCTCCTCACCATCAGGCCTTTTTACATCTGTAAATTAATTTAATAATTTGCTTGAGAACAAAGAATGAACTAAAAATTTTAGAAAATGACAACTGAATAAGTAAATGGAAAGATCTCAACAACGAACAATGAACCTTCGACAACTTCTGCTTCCTCTTCTTCTTCTTCCTCTTCACCGGTGGCACTAATTTCGCCAGTCAAAAAATTTCTCGTCTTTCGAATATCTTTCTTGAGTTTTTCGCTGGGTGGATTGAGCAAGGCCCAGTTGACGCAGTCCTGACTGTAAAGTGTTCTTCGATCCATGGCTTTGTTGCCATTTTCCACTCCTTGCACGATGTAATATGGCAAGCTAAGGGTTGATATGCGTCCCCAATAAAACAGCTCGTCAAACTTCATTTCATTTTTAATTACTCTCAGAGAAGTTTCCATAGCTGACTTGTTCTCAACACTCATTACAATTCCATCATGGCTTAAGTTTTCTGTAAACAAATTCAAAAATTCAGAATTCATTTTGAAGAAAATTGCCTTGAGCCAGCGGTCCTGTCGCTTATCATATACGAATACAATACAATTCAAATGTTTATTTCCAAATGTAATTAACCGTCGTTTATCGAAAATTATAAATAATGCCATGAAAACGATTAACGTCTTATTTTAATGTTCAATAAATTTAAATTTAATTAGCTAATAATGTTTTTTAGTAATTTCAAAATTAAATAAATACTTTGACTATATTTAAAAGAAAATTTTTATGCACTTGAAAAATGCGAAACCACGGTTGAATTACATATCAAAATGATATATAGAAAGTAAAAAAATTGGTCTGTTGATAATGTCAGGTTTCACAAAAAAAAATTAAATTTACTTTTCGGTTACCTGCTTTAAATGTGAATCGCGATATGAAAGCAACGCAAATCTCCAGCTTGGTTACCGCAGTATTCGTCATTGTAATGTTGCACTGCGGCAAAGCTGCCACTGACGAACAATATAATAATGTAATAAATATTAAAAATTCAAAAATTAATTTTCACTGCGAAAACACTAATTTTTTCAATTTAAAAACTAATTTTTATAAGGAATATACTATGAGATCACCAACGGCTACAGCAACTGCAACATCAACAACACCTAAAATAAAAATAAAAAAGGAACATGAACAACAAAATGGACGACGATATTTTTCAGAATATTCCGTCGAAAGTGCCAAATACCAATCTGCCCTAATTATTTATTCCGAAGAAAACATTCCAGAGCTACATAGACTAGAGAGGAACATCATTGTTGGAAAATATTCAGTAAAAATTCGGCAACAGTGGTCTGCTCTTGGAGTTGCTGGTTCCGTCTGGGATGCTGTGAGTTAAGTTAGATGTTAAAAATTGTTTAGCTGTAATTTAGAAATATTTTTAAATGAATAAAATAGCAATTTGTTTTCACTGACATTTCTTTTACAATAAAAATTCAATTTTAATCACTGTCAAAACGTTTTATTTATTGATTATTCAGGCCATTGTTTTAGCAGAGTATTCTCAAAATGATGATCTAAATGGTTTGAATGTCATTGAATTAGGCTCAGGAACAGGATTTCTAGGAATATTTTATTCAAAACTTGGTATTTTCATTATTAAATCATCTTGTTAATTCTACATATTAATATATTTCATATTTTAAATTCATTATATGCTAGTATATATTTATTGTAAAAAAGATAACTCATTAATATCACAAACCGTTTATTTAATTAAATTAATTTAATCTATTTAAGGTGCAAAAGTTACATTAACAGATGTAGCAGATTGCATTCCAAACATGGAACACAATGTAGGGATAAATGAAGCCTCAGGAGCAGTCACTGTTAAAGAGTTGAAGTGGGGGCAGAACTTATCTGAATTCCAGGATAAGTATGACTTCATATTAGGGGCAGATATTGTTTACATTGAAGAAACCTTCAAAGATTTATTAAATACATTACTTCACCTTTCTAATTGCCAAACAAAAATATTCTTGTCCTGTAAGATCAGATATAAAAAAGATTCAAAGTTTATTTCAAGCTTGTGTGACTATTTTTCAGTTGAAACTGTTCATTATGATGACAAATATGATATCACCATATATTTGGCTAGGAAAATTTGTTGAAATAAAAATTTTAAACCAATTTTATTTATTGTTTTGTTTGCGCAACTAAATTTTGAGAAGGTTTAAATTTATAAATGGTTGATAAGTTATTCGTGGCTAACATGTGGCAGTATTCTGCAGTGAACAACAATAAATTGCTATAAATTGCTATTTTACTCTTAGTTTCAAAGAAGCGTCGACGCATATGCATGCATATATATTTCGTATTTTCTATGTACTAAAAATGCTTGCAAGTATACTAACAGTAGCCATGGTTATAATCACTTGAAATGTATCTACAATGTGTTCGACTGATTGTATTCTATATATATGAGTGTATTATATAATTATTATTATATATATATGTGTGTGTGTGTATAATAAATGTAGTACTAAATTTTTACGTTGTTGTATAATACAACCCCATTTAAAGGATAAATACATAATAGAATGAAATATAATGCACCATCAGCAGCTTACTAACCACAAATGAACATCGAGCTAATCTGATTGATGTTTTTACCTTGGTTTGCAGTTGCACAATTCGTTGAAATTGAATGAGTTCCGTTGTTTAGGATTTGGTAAGTTTTTGATCGCTTTTAGGTTCTTTCCATTCGAGATTTTGAGGTACAATGGCCAAAGTTAAGATACATATAGTTTATTGGTAAGTATTTTAATATAATTTATTAATTCCAGTTCGTGTTTTGCAATACAAAAAATTCAATAATTATTTGTCAATTGAACTGAAAATTAATTTTAATATTTATTTAACTTTAATAATTTTCCTTTCCAGTGGTGCCTGAGGGTACGGATCAAAGGTATGCAAAGTTTTAGTCATAAAAAGGATAAAATTATCTTATTTTTTTTATTTATAAATCGCTAAATTATAATAAAATATGATTGGACATTGAATTGAAAAAACAGAATCTTATTGTTTGGTGCATTTTAAAATTTTATTTTATTGAAAAAAATGTTTCCTCACAGTTCAAGAAAATTCGCGATGAGTTGTTGCGTATTTTCAAGGATCAGATCTCTGTGGTAAGCTTCTTATCTACTTTGAAACATTTTTTAAACATTTAAAACTCTTTTAACTGATTAGTTTTCCAAGTTAATAATCATGTTTTCCTGATCAAGTTGCTACATATATATATGTACCTATTAAATTAATGAATCTGACCCAAGCAGATGAAGTTTTCAAGAAATGCAAATGTAGTGCTGTAAACTTTAGCAAATGTTTTACCCATTATTTTTTTTTATTCTACCAATTATAAAGTATTTTACCCATGATTGAATGTTTATTTATTTACACATTTATTCGATGTATTGAAAAAGCAGTAATTGAATGATTTGACATGCAACTGAATGTAAGCTACTGCTTGACTTGCTCATATTTTTTGAGGATTTAAATTTTTAAGCAATGTGGTAGTTATAAATATCACCATTGAAATGCAACTTGATGAGGTTAAATTAAAAAATAGACAGGTGAGGGCACTCCCCAGCAGACAGGATTTCTTGAGGTCCAGATCGTTGGTGGTCCACTCCTTCATTCCAAAAAAGTGACTATCATTTGGTGTTTTTCTAGGAAATTTTCTGTTTCTTCATAATACCAAAAGTAAAAATTATTTTTTCAAATTATTTTGTTACAGAATGGAGATGGTTTTGTTGACTCTGCGGAGAAGATGGACAAAATCATCCAGGGAGTGCAAAGGGCCTTAGAGGCTTACTAAATTAGCTAACTACAGAATTAGGTACGGAATTTTTTGCATTTTCACAATTTAACTTTCAAAATTTAGACTAAAATATCAATAGCTTAATCAAATTTTGTATTTCATTTTTTTAGGTAAACTGGTATCTGGAATGAAAGTACATTCTCCTTATGACGGTGTTGTCTGAAAGCTCTTTAAGGACTACGCCTGATCCCTGAGAATTTAATTTCCTCATGATTCACTAGTTTCTTAATTCTTATAAACTTTAAAAAAATTTCTGTTCAGAAGTGGTATTTTATAAATAAAAATCAAAGATGTGTGACTTGACCATTTTTTCATATTAATTACAATGTAATTGGTATAAAAATCTAACCTATCTAAAAGCAAATAAGCTTTATCAAATGACAAGTCGGTATTTAAACTTACTAGAAGTTAGCGACTTGTACACAATCAAAGCTCAACTCTTTTTTCTTTGTGTAAACATGGTGCAATGTGACAAAACAAATCTGTACTGTACCCAACAAACGTGTTTATGCTCAATCATAAACCAATTCAACTAGTCTCGTCACTCCAGCATTTTTCTAATTAAACGTTAAGCATTTGGAATTTCAACCCCAACCTTTCCTTAGCGATTAACCTTCGCATGTATGTATTTTTCATAGATTATTTTTACATTATTTTATCAATGAAGGACAACACAAGTCTAAAGTTGGTGTGATTTTTTTGTATAATTAAACTGAATAGTTTTTTTCTTCAATTAATTATCAAAAAATTTTCACAATGAGAATTGTTCAATACAACAGTCATTGTGTTGTAGGATTGAAATGTCTTGCAACACCAAAAATCCCAGCACCTGATAAAATATTAAAAAAAATTTGCTTACCAAATTTAGAACAAGTTACTAAGTAAAATTTAATGAAACAATTTTCGAAACAAAATATTTTAAAATTTAAAACCAATTACCTAGTTAGCATGATGACGGACAGCATACACGCTGATCTGATTACAACTTTAGCTTGGTCCTCTTCCAATGTCTCCTCTTCGAATTGTAACGAATCGTGTTGCCGGTTTTCATCCTAACCCACTGGGGGACAGGCCTGTTCTGCTTTTGCTTTTTTGCCAATTTCATTTTAATTCGAAAAGTCTTGTGCGCGGCCATCTTCGGAGAAAACTTCTACAGGAAAGAGAAAAGAGGTCGCTCACAAGAGAAAAGTAAACCTAAATATAAATATCTTTTCATCAATCAAGTTTATAGAGCCCAATTTATAAAGTTTCAACTGGACTCAATCTAAAATTTACGAAACGATCAATTATGAAGAAGTACAAAATAAAATAAACTAAGAATTCTGCGTAAAAAACTTGAACCAATTAAAAAAATAATTCTAAAAAGTTTTTACATTTTTTGTTTACTAAAAACCAATATTAAAACAAATATTACTATTTGACAGATCAAATTGGTATAAAGTTTCTCACAATTTCGTCCGCTGGCTCCATGTAACTGTTAACATGTAAGTAAGCGGTTGTGAACTGATCCACTATTTCAATTTTCATTAATTTGTTTCTAATTTCAAAATATTCATCTCAAGCTTTCTTTGATCACACTTTCTTTGCCAAAAAGAACTTCCAATTTTGATCCGTTGTTTCAGTTCAGTTTCAGGGATGGCCTCCTCCAAGCAATGATGAACGAAGTTTTCGTGCTGAAAGAAGGCTATTCGAGAGTTAATAAGTTGGGTCAGTTTGGTTTTAGTAGTTTAGAACAATAAGTGTTGTACATGTTATCTGTTATATGTTTATTTATTTTATAATCACATATATTGCAATCATTCATGAATACGTTGATTACGTTGATTATTCATAATTATTTCAACAATGTACATGTAAACTTTAAGAAACAGCAATCATAAAATGTTTTATTATATTAATTAATAATTAATATTTAATAAAACATAGCAGCAAAATTCATTGCATGACTTGATAAACAGATAAAATAACTCGAGATAAAATGAGACAATGACAGATAACAAACATTGCCATTAAAAAATAAATAATTTTTTTTCCTGTTTTGCAGGCCAGTTCAGAGCTGACTGCACAATATCTCTTGTGAAGCATAAACATGGAAATATTATCATCGACACTGGCCTACCCCAAGATAAAGATACAATCATTTCAGGTTCCTACATTCATTTTAGAATGCAAAAATTGTTTGGTTGAAAAACTATTTCAAATTATTGTATGTATTATGTAGTTTATACAATTAATAATAAAGCTGGTAAAAGACCATAATTAATGCTGTAAATAATGAAATCTACCACGTTTATATCTTCAGGAGAACGCTAGAAATTTAGTAGATTTCATAAATTACTGAATTAATAATAATCATATAATTATTATGACTTGGTTTATTAAATTAATTTCCAGAATTAAAAAGATGTGGATTGAGTCCAGAAGATATAAACGTGGTGGTGGCAACTCACGGTCACTCGGATCATGTCGGTAATTTGAGTTTGTTCCAAAACCCTGACTGTCTTTTTATTGTAGGCTGCGACATTTCGAAAGGTGATGTCTATTTATCCAACAATTTGAAAGATGTTAGTTTCAACGAGAATTTTGGTGGGCTTTTGTTTCTGTTAGAGATATTATTATTTCCTTTCATTATGTGTTATGTTATATATAGTCCTGGTTATGACATTAAACTGACCCTCACTGCCTTGTGAGTGATGTTGGATCATCAAAGGCTAGGCCCACCGCTTATAACTGTGGTTGCGTAAGGAAGGGCGTCCTGCGTAAAAATTAGCCAAATAAATTACTTATGATGACAGAAGTGACAATGACCCTCATCGAGGGGTATTTCAGTTTCATCATAGGTAGCCAAACGGCAACCCCCGATCTCGGGGAAAATGTCGTCTAAACGTGTGTTGTTGTATGTGTTATGTTATTATTGTCATTGTTATGATACTGCTACTACTACTACTAATAAAAATTAATCACTTATTTATTATTAACTGATAATAATAGTAACTATATTATTACTATCAAATTACTATATTGTTTATTTTATGATATGGCCATTTATAAAAATTGCTGGTTTTAATTAACCATTCATTCATTTAACAAATGTTCGCTGTATGTATTATAGTATATATCATAAATAATATAATAAATATGAACGTCATGAATATAATTGAAATTATAATTTTCAATTATATTTAAATTAATAATGTTGTTATATATGTATATGTTATAAAGATATTTTTAAGGTGTAAATAAATTTATTTTTTTAGGAAGCAGGTGAATATGAATTAAATGACGCCATAAAGATAATCTCAACGGCTGGCCATACATGCTCTGACATTTCAGTTCTTGTTAACAATACTAATTTAGGCTGCGTAGGTATTGCTGGTAAGACATTCAGTCTTCTTTCTTTTACAATTCTTTTTCTGGTATATTTCTGTGGTATCAACAGCAAATAGGTTTGTGCGTGTGCGTGTGTGTGTACATGTGAATCGAGACGTCACACGTACACGCGTTTGCTTAGTGTGATTGACTGGATTTTCCTTGTATTCAAACTCGGTAACCTTACAAATGGAATTTAAATTATAATTTATAAATATATTTAAATTAATAATAGGTGATCTATTTGAGTGTTTTGAAGATTTTAATGATGAAACACTGTGGAAAGCCAATAGTTTTCAGCCAGAGCTCCAGTTGAAAAACAGAAAAAAATTATTGTGCTTGTGTGATTATATCATTCCAGGACATGGCCCTATGTTCAAAGTTGATGACGTCATGAGGGATTGTTGACGTTTTCTTTACACAGTTAGCTTACATGACCTGCGTTACGTTTGGCATAAAGTTATTAACAGTTGAGCTGCATTCATACACGAATGTATTAGGTATATTTGTTCATTCTAGATTCGAGAGATGTGACAAAATTGTTGTGTTCTGAAGACAAATTTTAACCAAAATAAAAACAAATAAAATGAACAACTGTTTTGCAATTAATTTAAAAAGAATTTCTGAATTTAAATTGTGTCTGTGTGTTCGTTTGTGCGTGTGTGTGGACGCTTGCGTGTGTGTGTGTTTGTGGACGCTCGTGTGTGTGTGTGTGTGTAGACGCTCGTGTGTGTATGTCCGTGTGTGAGTGCGTGCATTTTTAAGACTGGTTTACTAGCTGGAGGTGTTATCTCAAGTGTTGCCATTCCTTATAAATTCGGTTGTTCTAATCAACGTTGTAAAGGCAACCGTTGGTAGCCAATCGTTAGCTAAGAACTCATGTAGCCAGTCTTTGTTTACAAAAGCTTCGTTAGAATTGCATGTATGTTATTTGAATTTGAGATGTGTTTGTATGTGAGTGTGTGTGTTTGTGCGACCGCCGATGCGCGCGCGTGTGTGTGTGTGTGTCGCACGATGGCCAACGGTTTACAGCGCAATTCCATAGCTTACAACATAAAAGCAAGACAATGAAAATCAGTTGAAATTTATTACACAGCCCAATTTGTTGAACTGCATTTCGACTATTATTAACGGATATAACAATAGTGCCTACTATGTAATTATGCATATCTTATATTTCGAGTGCTTAGCAAACTTTTCTTCAAACAATTATTGCACACACACGCATATATATATATGTATATGTAATGTGCAGGAATAATATAAAAAATTACACTCGAGTTAAGCACAAACATTGCTATAGTAGCCTTTGTACACAAGATATGCAACGATCCTAGATGACGCATGTATACTCTATTCATCAGCGTTTTGATGATTCCCAAGCTATAAATTTGACAATTATTCGTTATTTATGGTCATCTGTTTGTTGTTCATTGTAGTTTTAAGAATGCCATATTATAGAGAGAAATTTACTGCACGATAAATGATGATACATTTAAAATTAAGACTTTTTTTTATATTTTTAGTAGGTCTTCTTTTAATAATTATAATCTACCAATTAAATTTGAGGTACGTCATTATTATCACCTCACGTCCCGAATATTATTACAAGAAAAATAGAATTTTTAAAAGCATGACCAACCGCAGTACGTATGGTAGGTTTTTCGGATTGTTTAGTAATTAAAAATTATTATTACCTTTGTTATTATTATTTATAATTATTACTGTTATATTATTAATATTATTGTTATAATTGTTCATTGTTATTTATATTATTATTATTATTATCGCTGTAGTTGAATGATTGATTGATTGACTGATTGATTGATTGAGTGATTGATTGAGTGATTGATTCAATGATCGGTTGGAAGAATAAAGCCAAAACCTTACACAGACAACACGACAATTGCCGACAGGCTGAATACGGAAGTAAGAGTTCTATGCTGGGTTATGACGTCACCCAATAACCACGCCTCAAAAGCTGTCCACGTGCTAGCAACGTGGGGTAGGAGATGCGACAAGATTATTTTCTCCTCCGAGTCCAATGAAAGTATGTAGTAGTCAAGTATCGTACCGTTTCGTATTTTTTCAAGTAGTTCAATGAACTTTTTTTTAGTTCAGTGAAATTTTTTCGGTGTTGTAGTGAGCCCAGTAAAACTTTGTTATTACCATATACTTATAGCACTACAGATTTGTTTACAGAGCACAAAGTGCCTTAGGATACGAAGTACCAACGTTTAAACAAAAGTTCGGCTCGTTGATAAAAAAACCTATCACACAGGCCCACCCAGAAAAACTTTGATTGGTTGAAGATAATTGAGCAGATGATTTAGGATAATTAAGATAATTGCAATTTTAAAGATAAGCGGGCAAGGCATCTGACATACTTGTTCACATTAACATAATTTATTAATAAACTAGGCCTGAAATTTGTTCCGCTAAACTGCCAGATCAAGTTATAAATAGCATGAGGCGTTTGATTTTTTTCTCATTAACATACTTTTAAATCTTAATATCCAAACTTCAATATTATTCATTTGTAAAATTGCAAGAAGTTGTGCTGTATAATTTATTGATAATTTTTGCATTGTAAATATTTGCATTGTGAGGATTACTATCATAATTGTATAATGCATTAACGAATGAACTAATAAATAAAAGAGTGAACGAGCGAACCCTATGAACGTATGAACAAACGAACGAACAAACAAATTAATAAATATATAAACATTTGTGGTTTATAAATTTAAATGAGAGTTCGCAGTTATAATATTCTACAAAACAACTAACTGAAAAAAAACTCCATTACCTAAATTTTTTCTTTCACCATGGTCGCTCGTAGCGTCAATACAATTGAGGTATGTGTTTATTTCAAGCAAATGCACCCCCTTGTATCTGAAAAATTTGCGTTGAGGATTTTTTAGAGAAGGTTTAACGATTCTGTCAGCTTATTTCGAATTTTTTTCGTGATTTCAATTTTAAAAACTGAATTATTCATTATATTTTGACAGAATATTGCTATTTTTGATAAAGGACTGCAACATTTCAAAACTTATATTTATAAAACGTACGTTACATATAAACTTAACGTTAGCCCTGATCAACATCTATTGTGGGAGCTTCAGTCCCAAGTACCCCCTTTGGAAACGCCTCTATCTCCCCATTATAGATTATTATTGTTATTATTATTATCTTTAACCGGATGCACCTTTAGCATTTAATTCGTGGGCAAAAAAGCTTTTCAAATAGACACTTCAAATTTATTTAAAAGTCAACAACATTTTATTTACATTGTTTCATTTTAAACGTTGCCTGTAGTTTTAAAAGCCCCTACATTAAAAAAAATTGTTTAATAAAGTTCTTACACTCTTAAATTCTAGAAGGTCTAGACAAGGTCTGATACACTCGTTAAACTCTTTATTCATTTGTTTATTTCAACTTCAATACTTCATTGTACTCTACATGTTTAGAAAATTTACGAGCTGATTTTTTTTTTATAACCGGTTCGCCTAAATATAAATTTTTTAAAGAAACGTGCTTAATATAAATGAAACAATTTAATTTATGATTTTCAATTCAATTAAAATATCTATCACTCTCTCTCTTTTTCTCTTTCTTTTTCTATCGTTTTCTCTCTCACAGATGCTAATGGTCTGCCATTGCTAGTGATCAACACGTCATACGGTCGTCATCACCTGACCGCGAAAACCATGCAAACATTCGATCACATCTACAGGCATCATCTCAATGAATTTGATTGGTTCCTGAAAGCTGATGACGACACTTACGTCATCGTTGAAAATTTAAGGTTTTGAAATGACGATGAGTTTAGCTTGATGTTGATCAGAAATAAATGTATCTTTTGTTTTATCTTAGATGTGTTTCAGTTGATATTTCTATTAATGACCATAAACGATTATCATTCAAAATTAGTCTTTTTAAAATACTGACCGGGTAAAATACGTTATCTATTCTGTTTCACATATCGTTTAAATTGTTCTACAATTATTTTCATATAATATAATATAATTAAAATAATAATTTTAAAGATGGTTCAACCTTCTATTTGGTCAAATAAAATGGCTTTATGTGATCATATTTACAATTAGCTTATTTTCTTGTTTGGTTCGTTTTTATTGTCATCATCCTCAAATCATCCGTCATTCAAATCCAAATGGTCCTCATCACATCATTTTCATCTTTGCTATTTTTTTTTGAGAATAATTTCATCATCAACGACGCTATTATTATTATTATTATTATTACTAACATCACCCCTATCTTCTCCATCCAGGTACTTTTTGTCATCCCAAGACCCAGCAAAACCCATATACTTTGGCCACCACTTTAGCCCCTACGTGAAGCAGGGTTACAACTGCGGAGGGGCCGGATATGCCATCAGTAGGGAGGCCCTCAGACGTTTCGGAGAGCGCCCAAAATCCCTATGTAAAGATGATTACGGTTTGTTTTGCAACTTTATTATGCTGTTAATTTTATTTTATTAATAATTTTTTTTATTTATTTTTAATTATTATGAAACAATAATTTTGGTGAATTCAAGTTTATTATGAAAAAATTATTTTTTATTCGGAAATTTGTGAACGTATATTATATTTCAATCAATCAATCAATCAATCAATGTTTATAAAGCACTATTTCCGCGATGTTCAACAGCGCTCCTCAATGAATTTTGCAAGCAGATGGGTCTTGAGATCCGCTCTGAACTTCGTAGGTGATGGAGAAGTAGTCAGAGAAGGAGGTAGAGAGTTCCAGAGAAAAGGGCGAGAAAAAGCAAAATCAAATTTGGCAAAGAGTGTTTAACACGAGTTAAGAAGAAGCGAGAAGAAGAAGGCGATCGTAAACCGGGGCGTTTAGGTTCAATTAATATATCAGATAAATATAAAAATTTAGGAAAAAAAAATAAAAAAATAAAAATAAAATAAAAACTTAGGAAATACTTTAGATTGAGACTTATACATGAACGTGCAAATTAAAAAAAATATTTTATAGGTAGCCAGTACAAGAGAACAAGATGTGGAGATATATGAGAAAAGAAAGGGGCACGAGCAACTAGACGAGCAGCAGAGTTAAAAGCTTTACTTAAAGGATAGAGTATAGAGTCAGGAAGACCATAGTAGAGCGAGTTACAATAATCAATCTTAGATAAGACTAACGAAGTAACAAGAAGGAGAAGAGTAGGATCATCAAGGAAAGGCAAAAGTTTTTTATTCTACGTAGATGAAAGTAAGAGCTTCTAGCAACACTATCAATCTATTAATATTTATTGCTATTTATTTTTTGATAATTATTAATTAGGATGATAATGACGATGACAATGAGGATGATTACGATTTTGAAATTTCATTCAATTATTAACTAAACTTACAGTAAATTATTTTCTATCATCATTATCATCATTGTCATAATTATCATTTTTTGATAAAAAAATTTTTTTTTGTTGTAAAAATCGGCAGATGGACAGATAAAACCTTTTCGCTTACAAAACATCAATCATTAAAATCAATTTATTTGATCGTTCAACATAACGGTACACACATTACAAACCACACACACACACACAGGCACACACACATACACACGCACACACACACAGACTGTTATTCTAATGAAGATAATAAACACACACACTTACGCACAACACAAACAGGCAAAATACAAACTAAGCGGTGGTAAAATGGTTTAAGGCGTCTGGCGTCTTATATTGCTACTAGGTTTGATCGCATAGAGATCCCCGTTTCACATAAACACACACACACACACACACACACACACACACACACACACACACACACACACACACACACACACATATATATATATATATATATATATATATATATATATATATATATATAAACCAACACATGCAAACACACACAAACACACACAGGTTTCGAAGACGTTGAAATGGGAAGGTGCATGGAACTGTTGGGTGTGGTGTTAGGGAACACCAGGGATAAACATGGCAGAACCCGCTTTCATAATTTCAATCTCGATGTTCATATTCAAGTAGGTTTGAGATTTCATCTGCAAAACTTGATACTTACTAATATTACTACAGTTGCTGCTGCTGCTGTGGCTACTATTTCTACTACTACTACTACTACTATTACTACTATTACTTCTACTACTTCTACTACTACTACTACTACTACTACTACTACTACTACTACTACTACTACTACTACTATTAACAATAATAATTACTATTATTTTAAAATTATAGAACTTAATAATTAACCGTTAATATAGGGTTACTATCCAAACTGGTACTACCATTACGACAAATATGCAGAAAAGGAGGTTAGAGTTATATGATGAGAAAATGATGACGATGAAATAAATAATAATAAATATATATAATATTATATAATAATACGAATAACAATAATACTACTACTACTACTTACTACTACTGCTGGTAGAAATAATAATAATAACAATTAGTATTATTTTTTTTATTTTAAATAATAATAATTATTACAAATTATTACCCCACCAGACCGAAGTAGCGGTCAGTGACTACAGCATAACATTCCACTACGTGCCAATCGAACAGATGTATATGATCGAATTCTTACTCTACTTCATCCGCCCCTACGGAGTTGTTGCCAACTTTCAGGATGTCAACCTCCAAAGCGAGTCTGGAAAATCGGCGATTTCTAAAAATTTGCCGTGAAAATGAGACATTGTAAGGTTTATTGGTCGTATTTTATGCGTTCTAGTACTGCTGCTATTGCTGCTGCTGCTGCTACTACTAATAGTAGTAGTTCTGGTAGTAGTAGTAGTAGTAGTAGTAGTAGTAGTAGTAGTAGTAGTAGTAGTAGTAGTAGTAGTAGTAGTAGTAGTAGTAGTGGAAGTGGTAGTAATAGTAATAAAAGTAATAATAATAATTATAATAATAATAATAGTAGTAGTAGTAGTAGTAGCGTGGTAGCAGAGGTTTGAGCTAAATATTCTTTCTATAATTTTATTTTTAAAAAGCGTTTGCTTATTGCAACTACACATTCACTATATGTTCCTCAAGTGTTTGCCATTAAAGTTCACTTATGTTCGCCAAATGTTTGTTATAGAGGTTATTTTCTTCTCATCTATTTGTGCTGCATCGAACTTGCTTCATTTGATAAAACATATTTTTTTAAATGCGCTTTTTTATTTAAATATCTGTTAATAAAGAAGCATTTTTTTGTCTTAGATATTTTTTCGATTTTGAAATATAAAATCTTGATAATTTTTTATATTTTACAAAACTTACATTGAATTCAACTAACACGCTTTAAATATCACTATTCTTAATACTTGGAAAAAGCCTTTGTGTAAAACTTCTCCATAACCCAGTATATACCGAATTTTTTTTACATATCATTCATATAAAATCAATAAGTTTTAATGGTATGTAGTGTTTGTGTGTTTGTTGAATTACCTTTTAGACGAATGAATGAATGGGGTACTCACTCACTCACTGCAGATGTTAATTTGAAAAGATTCGATATGAAACTACATGATGTGAAAATTTGATTAAAAATTTAAGTAAAATTTAATCGAATTAAAATAAGTTGATAGTCGAAAGCTATAAGTTTAAAATTTAAAAAACTTTTACAGTAAGACCAAACTTTCCCTATACCTGATCTAGAAACATATACACACAAACTTAGTCATTACAAACATAGGCATACACACATATATATCAGCCATTTGAAAGCAATCGAACGGCAAGCAAGAAGACTTTTATTAATAAATACACGGACACGATTTTCGATAATAGCACGCTACGTTTTAGACAAAGCGTGCGTAAATTTTTTCACATTGTATGTTAATTAAATAAATAATTTATTTCCATTCTTTAAGCAAATGAATGAAATGATTCAACAACACACACACCACACAAACACCACACACACACACACACACACACACACACACACACACACAAACACACACACACACACACATCTTGTGATCTTACGTAATAGAGAAAATTATTATATTATAAATAAAAGAAATATCTAAAATATACGTTAAACATGCTGTATTAATATAGTTAAAAAAACACTTGTAATAATTATGACAATATTAATTGGTTTTTGAAAATCGTTTAAGCAGAAAGAACGCACTTTGCTCAGGACAAAGGAGAATAAAGGAACTTCGCACGCACTCACAGAGAATTGTAAAATCTTGAAATATTCCTATACAAAAACAGAAGATGAGTAAAATCGAAATATAGCCCATGAACACCAACGATTTACTTATTAATTTTCCTAAATTGGATTATAATTACAAAGTTACTGTTAGAAAAATTGAAAAGCTTTCATCGAAAACTTTCAAAAGCTAAAAATTCGGTAGATTTTACCAAATATTGCATCAATTATGGTCTACTTCCAGCCTTTATATACATATATATATAAACTTCCAGCATATATATATATATATATATATATATATATAAATGCTAGTAAAATGCAGTAATTTAGAAAATTTACATATATAAATATATACATTTATATATATATATGTAATGTATATGTAATGTATATGTATATGTAATGTATATGTATACGTAATGTATATGTAATGTATATATATATATATATTTAACGTATATGTATATATGTATATATATGCATATATATAGTGCCAGCTTTAGTCTTCAATTGAATAACATGGCAGTAGATTGTTTGTTAATGTGTATTGGTTAACGCGTTGGAATTTTAAAAGTATATTGTGTCTTTATTCAAAAATTTCATGTTATTAATGAAGATTTAATTATTTTATTTAAATTTAATGAATATTTAGTAAGTTAGTTAATTAGATTTTTGTTTGAATTGGTTTTTTAAATCGTTTTATTCAGCAGAAAACAGATGAGGGAAGTGATTTGATCTGGATTTTGAAAGAATTGTTAACTAAATTACTGTGAAAAAACTTAAAACAAGGATTTTTCTTCGTAAATGAGTAAAAATACTAGTCGAATAATGTTCGATTTGAAGCGTAAAATACTAATTCTAATATTCTGTGGCTCGATAATCATATTTATCTATCAAATCGCCCTAAAATACCAACTGAACCTAAGATCCAACTCATGGTACACTGGCTACTACTACCAAAACTCACAGGATAATGACCACCAACATTACTATGGCCATCGTCATGACCATGGTGTTAGTGGTGGAAAAGGTGGAGTAGTCAAGTTTGAAGATGGCTCCCATCATTCTCATGGTTGGTTGGTTGGTTCGGTTTGGTTGGTTCGTTTGGTTGGTTGGTTGGTTTATTTTGTTTATTAGTTTTTTTTTATAGTTTGACTTGTTTTTCTTTGATGTATTCATTTGTATTGTATATACTATATGGTTGTATTGGTATTGTCAGCGCAAAATATTAAATGAATAGTTTTGCCTATGCATTGATTGTATATTGATTGGCAATCAAATTTATAATTGTTACCATCAGTGTTGCTAATTAACTTGTTAGACATCAATTTATACTTTATAAGTTGATTTCATTATTTCAATTAGAATTCAATCAAAATTTATTATATTTATGGATCATCTGTACCTACTGTAGATTGTTCTTAAGTTAGTTGAGTTGCCAATTCATTTAATTTTTAAAAGCTTAATCCTTAATGAATATAGAATGGATTAGCCATTTAATTAATTTAATATATCTTTTAAAAATGTTCATTGATACTAATTAACTATTTTGGTGGTTTTGTCATCTTTGGTTAATTTTACCATCTATCTATCACATAACTCACATAACAATTAAAATAAGTTGAAAGAATTACTGAATTAATGGTTGAAAAATTTCAATTAACGACAATTTCAATAAACGACAATTTTAAAAACTCACAGATGACACATCAGTTGCCGACAAATTAAAAGAAAAAATTAAAGTTCTGTGCTGGGTTATGACCTCGCCCGACAACCACGCCACCAAGGCAGTCCACATTTTGGCAACTTGGGGGAAAAGATGTAACAAGATCCTTTTCTCTACAGAATCCAACAAAGGTTGGCTGGATCATTTTTTTTTATAACATAACGCTAAAATAGTTTTTGTGCAATCAATGGTAAAGATGTCTGGCACTGTGTGTGTGTGTGTGTGTGTTTGTGTGTGTGTGCTTGTCTCTCTCTGTGTGTTTGTGTGTGAGTGTGTGTGTGAGTGTGTGTGTGTTTGTGTGTGCGTGTTTTTATGTACATGCTCTGTGTGTGGGTGTGGTTGTTGTTGGTGGTGGTTTTGAGGAATACTAAAAATAGAATTGTTAAAAATTTTAATACCATAAGGATGATAATTATTATAAATAATAGAAATAACGATTATAAACAGCAATAATTGATTGAAAATACAAATAATGTTAATAAAAATAATTATATAATAATTATATATTATGTATTATTATGTATTATTAATCAAGTCGAATTTATGTTATATTCAGATAGGAAAATTGAATTTTTTTTTATTATTTAGGATTAAAGGATTAGTTTTTATTGGCTTATCAATGATTTCATTTATTTTTATTATATTATTTTTAACAACAACGATATTATTATTATTATTATTATTTTTATTATTATTATTATGTTTATTATTGCATACTTATCTATTAAGAGTGTTAGGTAGTTTTAATGTGTTATGTTTAAAGTGTTAAGTTTAAAGTGTTAGTGTAGTAGTTAAATTTTTTATTCATTTAGTATTTTCCAAACTAATTAATTATTTTATAATATTATTATTATATTGTTTTGTTATAGTTATTTGTTTTAAAATTTTTAACTACATTTCCAAAAATTTAAACTAAAGCATACATTTTTATGTTATGTGATATTCTTTTTTTTTAATTTCTAATGACAGTGCACTGTGGTTTTTTCCCCCCTTATTTACTGTATATCTGTTTGGGTGTTTTACATCTATAATAATAATAATAATAATAATAATAATAATAATAATAATAATAATAATAATAATAATAATAATAATAATTATTATTATTATTATTTATTTATTTCAATTTCTAATTATTTTTATCTGGAAGAGATTTTTGTTTTTTTTTGTGTTTTTACTTCTTCTTTTAATATTTTGTCTGTTTGTTTATACTGTATATTTATTTTGTTTATTTGAAAATGACAGTTATTATTATTATTGTGATGGTATTGTTTAGGATGATGATGATGATATAGTTGATGATGATGATGATGATGACAGGTGCTCATGTATATTAGTTAGAACTTAGATGGTAATGCTAGTCCATTAGAATTTTTCATTTCAAAGAATGCATGGTCGGTCTTTATGCTAATTATCATCATCATCATCATCATCATTATCGTCATCACCATCATCAGTAGTAAGAGCAGTAGTAGTAGTAGTAGTAGTAGTAGTAGTAGTAGTAGTAGTAGTAGTAGTAGTAGTAGTAGAAATAGTAGTAGAAATAGTAGTAGTGATTGTAATAGCGGTTGTTGGTTGTTATATCATGATTATGAAAACAGTTTTTTGCAGTTCAATCAAACATTCATTTCAGTTTACATTACATATATTCTTATTTTCGATAATGACAGATGTTTTTATGGGCTTCAGTTAGAAGTGAAAACGGGATTTTATGTAAATAAATGTATGTAAATGGTTGTGTGTGTGTGTGTGTGTGTGTGTGTGTGTGTGTGTGTGTGTGTGTGTGTGTGTGTGTGTGTTTATGGTTGTACGTATGTACACATGCACTTTTAATTCTTCATGTAATTCCTGTATTTTTATTAATAATTTCTAAACCAGAACACATCTTCTAAAAGATATATAGCTGAAAAACAACATTACATTGCAGATTTAAGTGTATATCAATATATAATCTTTTAATAAGGTAAGCTAAGAAAGAGCTAATGGGTTTGTACATCCAAAATGAAGGTATAATTCTAGCAATAATTTTCTTATTGTTAGTTTGATTATAACGTAATTATTAAGCATGACGTATTACTATACGTATAACCAGACTAATAGTGTAAGACTTAGTATAACAGATACGTTTAAGTAATCTAATGTTCAACCATGGACATCTGTATAGTATATTGATACTATACTATATAGAAGTCTATGGTTTAACAATGGGTAGAACTAATCAGTGGTTGAAAGTTTAATTTTGAATAGGTAAATAATAAATAAATAAAATAGATATAGAATTGAATAAATAGATTAAATAATATACATACATATATATATATATATATATATATATATATATATATATATATATATATATATATATATATATATATTTCGACAACTTTACCCCAAGTTAGGCATAAATAGTTTACGCATATGTATACACGTACACACACATGTATATGTGCTGTATATATTTACTTGCATACAAACTATGTATGTGTGTGTGTGTGTGTGTGTGTGTGTGTTGGTATAAACTGTGTATGCATAATAAACCGATTTAGTTTTAGTTTATTCATAAATTTCAAGCAGAACCCAAACCTAATTTTTCTTCTTTTTTCTTCTTATTATTATTAACGTTGTTATCATCATCGTCATCATTATCATCAGCATTATTATTTATTATTATTATTATTATTGTTATTATTATTGTTATTATTATTATTAAGTTCGTTGTTCAAACTCCTTATCACAAGCTTCATGAAATGTAATATGCATTTGTTTACTTTAGTCACTTCAGTTAAATTTTAACAGTTGAAAAGTTTCCACAGTTATTTAAACAACACGCACACACACGTACAAAAAAGCACACCACACATATAAACTATACAGACTCACAAACACAAAAGAATGTACATATATATATTATACACATTCGTTCACATATTTACATACTTATTTCCACATATGTACACACCACACACATACACATACACACCACACACGCACATACACACACATATAACGTTTTAAAGGTTTTTTATTTGATGTTTGACACTTTTGATAGTAGCTAGCTAATATGAAAAATGAGTTTTTTTTATCATTCATTCATTTATTCATTCGTTCGTTCGTTCATTCGTTCGTTCGTTCATTCGTTCGTTCGTTCATTCATTCATTCGTTCGTTCGTTCGTTTATTTATTCATCCGGTCCATTTTGTGCTAGTCTGTGTGCATTTAATTATCTTCTATTTATTTTTAACAGTTACTTTCTTTTCTTGTTAAATTTATACATATATATGCTGTGGTTATTGTGTATGTGTATGTAGAGAAAGAAAGAGAGAGAGAGAGAAAGAGAGAGAGGGAGAAAGAGAGACATATATGTATTTAGTGAGAGAAAGAGAAAGTCAGAGAAAGAAAGAGAGAAAGAAAGAGAAATATATACATATACATACAAACAAATAACTCTGCACATCATGTTATATATTTATTTTATTTGTTCCTACAGAGTTGCATTTAATTGTTAAAGAAATAAAAGTTTTTATGATTTGAATAATTAATTATTGATTGCGTGAATTCAATGTAAAAACAAGGCATTTTAAACTCGATATAAATTTATTTAGCGCATTTTTTTCACTTCTGTCTGTTATGTTTCAGAATGATTTAATGTTGTTTTATGGATTTAATAAACATCAATGTTTTTGCTGTTGTTGTTGTTGTTGACGATGTTGATGTAGTTGTTGACGATGTTGATGTAGTTGTTGACGATGTTGATGTAGTTGTTGACGATGTTGATGTAGTTGTTGACGATGTTGATGTAGTTGTTGACGATGTTGATATAGTTGTTGACGATGATGACGATGACGATATAGATCATCATCCTCCACATCTTCGTCATCATCATCTTAATCACGTTACCATCACTGCAACCTTTTTCTCAGTTCCTCTCCCACTCATTCGCAGTTATGAAATTACATTTTAATTATAATTTAAGTAATATTTACACATATTTATATAATTATACAATTTTATTTCCCGCTGTATACGCACTATACTCATTGCGCTTAGAAATGACGGGATTCGAACCTGGTCACTGCGTCATAACGTGGACGTCAGACATGGCACTTTAACCCTCTGCGCTATCTCTAATTCTAATGGCATTTCAACCGTTTGAGCTATCTTCCTAATTCAAACGATCGCCTAAACAAAGATTTAATTAATTAAAAACTTTTTTTTCATTTTTTTTTTCAGATCCCAATGGCCTTCCATTATTAGTGATCAACACGACTTCCGGTCGAGATCACCTAACGGCGAAGACCATGCAGACGTTCGACTACCTCTACCGGCACCATCTCAATGAGTTTGATTGGTTCCTTAAAGCCGACGATGATACCTATGTTGTTGTCGAGAATTTAAGGTTGTCATTTGTTTTATTGCTGACGCTGTACCTGTACTTCATCGTCATCACCACCACCACCACCATCGTCATCATCACCACTACCACCATCATCATCTTCACCACTACCACCATCATCATCATCTTCATCATCCAGGTACTTCCTGTCCTCGCAAGACCCCACAGAAGCCATATACTTCGGCCACCACTTCCACATGTACATGAAGCAGGGCTACTTCAGCGGCGGGGCCGGATACACCTTGAGTAGGGCGGCCCTCAAACGTTTCGGGGAGAGGTCCAGTTACGTCTGTAAGGACGACAGAGGTGCGTTTTGTTATTTAATTGTAATTTTTGTTAACATTTTGTTTATGTAATATTATTTAAAACCTTTTTGCTTTTGAACCTCAATTTTAAACAATTAAACAAAAAAAATGCCATCTACTTAGAATATAAATACTTTACAATCTCAAAACTTAGTGAAAACCAAAAAAATCGACACAAAACTCTCTCTCTCTCTCTCCATTATCATCATCATCAACTTAACCGGCAAACGAAGGATCAAACAAATTTCAGGTGCAGAAGATGTGGAAATAGGGTTGTGCATGCAGTCGGTCGGTGTGGCCACTGGCGACTCGAGGGACGCTCTGGGGAGGTCCCGATTCCATTGCTTCAACCCTGAAACACACATACAGGTTTTGTCTGTGTGGCATATTTGTTTTTACCCTATGACCAAGGTATGTATGTCGTTCAATCACGATACTGATTATGATGTTGTTGAATGATGGCGATGGTTATGATAAAGTTGTTGAATGATGATGATGATGGTGGTAGTGGTGGTGATGATGATGGTGATGATGATGATGGTGATGATGATGATGATGGTGATGATGAGGATGATGATAATGGTGGTGGTGATGATGATGAGGATGATGATGATGGTGGTGAATCACAACAAAGCTAGTAGGTATATCTTGTAGGTATTCGGCATTATAAATGCTTCAATTAAATGATAAAATCAATTAAGACCGGCAAGCTGTTTATTTTATATTTTATTTTTCAATTTTTTTTTTATAACCGTTGTTTAATGATGATTATATACACGGCTCACCCACACACGCACACACACAGATACACAACACACACGCACACACACAGATACACACACACACGCGCACGCACACACACGCACACATACACACGCTCTTTTGAAATGTTTCACTATAATTGAAATAGATAGGAAACAATTATTAAAACACTGCTATAATATCTGCTACTTGTTATCTCTAACAACTAAAAAAAAACATTTATTAGCTCTGTATGCAATGTAATGTGTTATAATGATATGGGTTACTGAACCTGCTATATGTGTGCGTGCGTACGTGTGTAAATTTGTGCGTGTTTGGTATGTGTTTGTGTGTGTGTGTTTCATGATTCTATCTTATTATTTTTATAATTATATTTAATTATAATTAAATATAATTATGAAATTATTCAGGGATCTTTCCCTGATTGGTACTATGCTTATGACAAATACGGGAGCAAAAAGGTTAGGATGATGATGATGATGATGGGGATGATGATGAAGATGATGATGATGGGGAGGATGACGACTAAATGAATACACTGGTTTTGATAGCTGTACATTTTCAAGTTATTATTGATCGTTAATTGAACACCCTTTGTTGAATTTTACAACGCTTTCCGTCTTGCTTGATGTCGTCATCATCACTGTTATCATCGCTATCACGTAACTTCATCATCATTGTTATCTACATCCCTACTTTATCATCATCATCATTATCATCATCATCATTATCATCATTATCATCATCATCATTATCATCATCAGCATCACCATCATCGTCGTTGTCGTCACTTACGCTGTCGTTTTCTTGTAGCTGTTGTTTTTGTGTGTTCATCGTGAAGTCATCAACATCGTCATCACATTCGTCAACATCTTCGTCGCCAGTAAGTGGCACATCATCGCCGCATACCCGCCACACACACACACACACACGCACACACACACGCACACACCACACTCAGGGCATAGAAACGATGAGTGACTACAGCATCTCCTTCCACTACATCCCAGTCGACCAGATTTACGCATTCGAGTTTTTCCTCTACCATCTCCGACCCTACGGTATTATGAGTGGCCTACAGGAGCTAAACATCGGGCCACAGAAGCCCTCGCTACAGAAGACCACCGTTTCCAATTCGGTCCCCAAAATGGACACAGTGACCTCGTCGAGTTACGGAACTTCGACTCTACCACCGGATCTCATCAACGCCATGGGTGGTGGTGGGGATCTTGAGGAAGATGAATATGATAAAGATGAGGATGGCGCTGATGAGGCGACGACAACGACGACCATGAAAATGAAGTTGATGAGAAGGCGGAAGAGGAAGACGACGAACTCGGCTGCTGACGGTGGTGGTGGTGGTTTCCAGAGTTGATTTAATAATAATTTTTGAATGTTTTTTTTATTCCAGTTTGTTTGTTTGCGTTTTGATTTTATTTGTTTCGACGAAATATATTATTAGTATATATTATTGTTGTTATTATTATTATTATTATTATTATTATTATAACAATTATTATTTAACAGTACAATTGTTTGTAATACAGAATTAGTTATCTACCAGCTCTTAAACAATGCGATGTGTACAAGTGCATGTTGGCTGACAACGAGTGTATGTGTTGTATTTTTTTTATGGTTGTTTGTATATCATCTAAATTCTACATTATTAATTAATTAGTAGCACTAGTAGCAGTAGTAGTAGTAGTAGTAGTAGTAGTAGTAGTAGTAGTAGTAGTAGCCGCAACAGTAGGAGTAGTAGTAGTATAATGGTAGTAATAGCATAAGCAGTAATTGCAGTATTATTGTAGCAGTAGCTGTAACAACAACATTAGTGGTAGTGGTAGAAGTAGTAGCAGCAGTAGTAGTGGTAGTAGTAGTAGTAACAGTAGCAGCAGCAGTAGTAGTAGTAGTAGCAGCAG